AATTGGAGTCTCACTCTGTCACCCAAGCGGGAGTGCAGTGTCACACTCATGGCCACCACAACCTCAGCCCGCTGGACTCAAGCAATCCTTCCTCCTCAGCCTTCCAAGTAGCTGGAATCACAGGCATGCACCACCATGCCCAGCTAATTGATTTATTGTAGAGACAAGGTCTCGCCATGTTGCTCAGGCTGGTCTCCAACCCCTGAGCTCAGGCAAGCCTCTTGCCTCCACCTCCCAAAGTGCTGGGACTACAGGCATGAGCCACCGTGGCTTCTTCTCCCTTCTGAACGTGAAGTGCTTCTTTCTGTTTTGCCTTTGGCAGGTGTATGGGGGTCTTTCTGCTGGGGAGTTCCAGCAGATCCGGCAGACGCTTCTCATCTTCTTCCAAGACCTGCATATCCGAGTGAGTGAGTGGGCAGCCCTGGGACACCCTGAAGCTGCTGTATAGGGTTGGGGTGGGGGGACAGGAAACAGGGTTCAAGCCATTAGGGCAGATAAGGGCAGAGATTTTGCTCAGTTAGTGATGTCCTTTGACTTCTGGATGAAAAACATATTGATAATAAATCTCAACAGTTGTTTTTTTTTCCTTTTTTACACTGAGAGCCCAGGAAACAAATTCAGCAGTTTTTAAATGGGCCAAGGAAGATAGTGATGCCGCTCTTTTCCAGTTACCTTATGAGTTTCTAGGAAATTTGGTTTTTTCCCTTCTTCTCCAGAGGAAATATGTTCTCAAGTCACCAGTCTGATCTCAACTCCAAACCTTTCCCAAGCCTGGTGCACCTTGACCCTCAGAATCTGCCACTGTCAGGAGGCTGCCCTGCTCCATGGAATGCTCACCTTTCCTGGACTCACCTGGCTCTGTACCATTCTAGCCTTCCCTTACCTCTCCATCTCAATGGCTTTCACTCCTTCCTCTCCACCTGTCTCCTATCTCCAGGAGCCCTTCCTCCTGTCTCCATCCACCCCGACTCTTTGTCATCTCTTTCTTCCCCCCTTTGGCTGCCAACCCCTTCACCTGTGACTCCTGAGTCTAACCTCTACTCTGCCTGTGCCCCACCCCCATCTTCCAGAGCCACACCTCCATCTCCTTGCTGAAAGTCTCCACAAGGATACCCACCAGTGCCTGCAACTCAATGTCTGTCAATAAACTAATCTCCACAATTCAAGTACTGCCCTGACCTTTTTTTTTAAGTTGGGGTCTTACTCTGTCACCCAGGTTGGAGTGCAGTGGCATGATAACAGCTCACCACAGCCTCAAACTCCTTGACTCAGGCTATCCTTCTCCCTCAGCCTCTTGAGTAGCTGGGATCACAGGCATGTGCCACCATGCCTAGCTAATGACTTCCTGATTTCTTTTGAGGGCACCACCATTTCCTCCACTCACTTGGCTGAGAACCAGAGTGTCCCCTTTGATTCCCCATTCCTGATTGTCATTCGATTGCTTCTAAGGTCCATAGAGTCCACCTTTGCAATATCCACACCCTCCTTTCCATTCCTGTTGCCAGCCTGTCTCTGTCTTCATGATCTTGCTGGCTACGCCTCCCAAGTGGCCCTCTTTCCTCATGCCCACTCCAGGTAATTCTACATCCTCTTTTTTTTTTTTTTTTTTTTAATCAGGCTCTCTCTCTGTTGCCCAGGCTGGAGTGTGGAGCACAATGGCATGACCATAGCTCACCACAGCCTTGACTTTCTGGGCTCAGGTGATCCTCCCACCTCAGCCTCCTGAATAGCTGAGACTGCAGGCACACACTACCACACCTGGCTAATCTTTTTATTTTTTGGTAGAGACAAGGTCTTGCTATGTTGCCTAGGCTGGTCTTAAACTCCTGGGCTCAAGCAATCCTTCAGCCTTCGCATCCCAAAGTGCTGAGATTATAGGTGTGAGCCACTGTACCTGGCCCTATATCCTAACTTGTAAAAACACATTTCTGGCCGGGCATGGTGGCTCATGCGTATAACCCCAGCACTTTGGGAGGCCAAAGTTAGAGGATTACCTGAACCCACGGGTTCGAGACCAGCCTGGGCAACTTGGTGAGACCTCATCTCTACAATAAATCAAAAAAGTAGCTAGGCGTGGTGGCGCATGCCTATAGTTCCAGCTACTTGGAAGGCTGAGGCAGAAGGATCACCTGAGCCCAGCAGGCTGAGGCTACAGTGGCCATGAGCGTGCCACTGCACTCCAGCCTGGGTGACAAAATGAGACTCCAACTCAAAAAAATAAAAAATAAAAACACATTTCTGAGCTTCTGAATTTTGGGCCTGTCTCTCTTGGACAAGACTTATTTCTTCTCTAATTTTTAAAAAATTTTTGCTAAAAAAAAAAAAAATTTTTTTTTCTCTGTGTTGCCCAGGCTGGAATGCATTGATGTGATCATAGCTCAATGAAGCCTTGAACTCCAGGGTCAAATGATCCTCCCATCTCAGCCTCTTAAGTAACTGGGACTACAGGTGAATACCACCATGCCTGGCTAATTTAAATTGTTTTTAATTGTTTACAGAGACAGGGTTTCACTATGTTGCCCAGGCTGATCTCGTGTTCCTGGCCTCAAGTGATCCTCTCACCTCAGCCTCCCAAAGCACTAGGATTACAGGCATGAGCCCCCATGCCCAGCCCTCTTCTCATAATTTAACAAATTGATGTGGGAATGATGGTATGAGATGGTGAAACAAACCCAAGCTCAAGCCAGACACTCTTCTGTTTGAATCCCAGCTCCAGAGCTGGATGAAGTGGCACTTGCCTATATAGTCCCAGCTACTCAAGAGGCAGAGGTGGGAGGATCACTTGAGCCCAGGAGTTCAAGACCAGCCTGGACAACATAGAAAGACCCTCAGAATTTTTTTTCTAAGTTTTAAAACAAAGTTTATTAGCAAGAGAAAGAGAAGAAAGGAAAAAAAAGGAAGATTCATGAAAGAAAGACCTGCCATGGGCAAGTTTTTCAAAGAAGTAAAACTGCCAAAAAAAATTTTTTTAATGAAAAAATAAATCAATCCCCAACTCCCTGGAATTGGCCATAGGCAAATTACTTCTCTTGAGCCTTAGTTTCTTCATATGAGAAATAGAAATTAGAATGCCTAATTTAGAATTTGTTGATAGAACTAACTGAAGCAGCATATGTAATATACATGTATTTGCTTGTATATGTATAGTATAGAGTGCTTCTGGAAGGATATGCAAGAAACTGGCTACAGTCCTTGCCTTCTGGGAGTGGGGAACTATATGGAGGACAGAGGTAGGAGACAGACTTACCTTGAAGTTTTTGAATTTTGTACCTGTGCTTGTATAACATATTCACAAAATAAAACCACCAAAAAAGGGAAGAAATGGAATATATTTAGGGCCTGACTGTATTTTCCTTCCATGGACCAAATAAGACAAGTAGATTTCACTCTGATGCCAATTTTATTTTTAACCCTCATGAATAAGTTTATTTGCTGAGATGGAGCATTAATAATATTAATATAAATTAAGATCTCTACTAGTTATCGGTTAAAATTAAAAATATGAAAGCACAAATAATATTAAGTTATGCATTAAATTTAGAATTTAAAAATACTGAAAATTCTACACATATTGTGCATACTTGGGCATTATTTTATGGATTGGAGTAATACAAACAGCCATATTGATTTCTCAATTCAGACAAGATAAAATTTATGATAATGAAAAGGATTTTCTAATAATAAGTCTGTAGCAAAATCATTAAAATGTGTTAAACCACAAAATATATTTAGCTAAATGGGCAGACAATGAAACATCAGAGAAATAGGAAATCAAGAGAAATAGGATTTGCATATCTTGACGATATTCTGCCACTGATCTGTAACATCTGGGCTGGTTTTCTAAGTCTGGTCTTTAATGGTATTTCTGCTCAGTTGTAATTTGTAATTGCCTATACAGATTTTCTGTGTTTTCAAAATAGTCTTGATAGTTTTAGATTTGTTAGCAAAACCAACTAAATCAAGAAAACGCAGCTCTACTCTAATAACTCCTTATTTGTTGTTTAACCAAAACAAATACAGAACTGCTTATTCAATATCCAAGCTTTCTGTGATATCACAAAACAATGTGAAATGGTCATAATGTGGTTAAGGCCCTGACCTGTACACCAAGACGTGGGCAGAGTCTACACTAAGACTAATTCCATTTGGAATCCTGAAAGTTATTTACAACCATCTCAATTCTTTTGTTTTTTTTTTTTTTTTTTTGAGTCAGGGTCTCACTCTGTCACCCAGGCTAGAGTACATGGCTTGATCATGGCTTGCTGCAGCCTCAACCTCCTGGGCTCAGGTGATCCTCTGGCCTCAGCCTCCAAAGCAGCTGGGACTATAGGAATGAGCACAACACCCAGCTAATTTTTTTTTTTTTTTTTAATTAAAGTCAAGATCTCGCTATATTGCCTAGACTGGTTTCAAACTCCTGGGCTCAAGCAATCCTCCCACCTCGGCCTCCCAAAATGCTAGGATTACAGGCGTGAGCTAATACTCCCAGCCTGATTTTAAATTTCTATTTAATTAAAATATAAATAGCCACATTTAACTAGTACATGTGTGTATTGAACAGCACATCTTTAGATGACAATGGTAGAGTCAAGGACTGCCTTTCTGAAGAAAGCCATTTAGTTGAAAATGTGACTAACAAAGATCTCAAGGAAGTACATCAAAGTTGAAGGGACAACAAGGTCAAAGCCCCTTAGATGAGAAAAACCATAATGTGTTTCTTAGATAAAGAAAAGCCACTTGCCGGCACAGTGGCTCATGCCTGTAATCTCAGCACTTTGTGAGGCAGAGGCAAGAGGATTGCCTGAGCTCAGGGGTTTGAGACCAGCCTGAGCAACATGGCGAGACCTCATCTCTAATAAATCAAAAAATTAGCCGGGCGTGTTGGTGCATGCCTGTGGTTCAAGCTACCTGAAAGGCTGAGGCAGAAGGATCACCTGATCGTAGCAGATCGAGGCTGTGGTGGCCATGAGCCACTGTACTCTAGCCTGGGTGACAGACTGAGACTCCAATCAAAAAGAAAAGAAAAGAAAAGAAAAATCACCAGGCACAGTAGCTCATGCCTGTAATCCCAGCACTTTGGAAGGCTGAGGCAGGAGGATCACTTGAGTCCAGATATTCAAGACCAACCTAGGCAATATAGTGAAATCTCATCTGTGCAAAACAATTAAAATAAAGTAAAAAAATGAGTTGGGCATGGTGATGCAAGCCTGGATCACTTGAACCCAAGAGGTCGAGGCTGTGATGAGTCGTGATTGTGCACTCCAGTCTGGGTGAAAAGAAAAAAAAAAAGCTGGGCACAGTGACTCAAGTCTGTAATCCCAGCACTTTGGGAGGCTGAGGCGAGAGGATTGCCTAAGCTCAAGGGTTCAAGACCAGCTTGGGCAACTTGGCGAGACCTCATCT